TATATATATATATATAAATATTTTATGTACCTGAGCTTGAGTGGTTCTACAGACAGAACTGCGTTGATCCCACGTAGAAGCGTGCTTCTCGAATAGCATTTCTAAATGTAACGGAGACGTTGCCCTGCGAAATTGGTTTGGCGCTTTATACAAAAAATCTTAGTCTGCAGTACCGAATGCGAATGTGTGAGTGCTCATATGGAAGATAAATTATATTGAGACGGGTTAAAAATACGGTTGCAGTTACAGAGGGGTATAAAAACAAAGAGCAAAGGGAGCGATGCTTTTGCATTGATATAGCGGGCTCTATCTTCATTAAGAAAAAAAAGGGGAGGGGGGAAAAGATAGAAAGCAGCATAAGCCTCTTAAGAGAGACACACGGGGCGCACTCATATTATTTTCTAGCTGTATTTATCAGTATGATACGCGCGTTATATATATAAATACATAACACTAAAATAATTGAAAAACGACTGTGATATCGAACGATCTTGTGACATTCAATTTCCACGCGAATTGATAAATGAACAATTAACGGAATAACAAATACAATAAATATGTATTAATTAATCGGTATTGAATGTCGGGAAGGTAAAACTAGCTCAGTTTGTTTGAGCTAAGAACAAGAATATTAAGTCGTTAACAGTTAATACACACAAGACAACGTGGCTGTTGTCCGATCGGGGAGGGCTGAACGCTAGGCTCTTGCGGTCCCGGGGGACCTTTCTAGGGCATTGTTTCTGCTTAAAGTAACGCGCATTAATGATATATAGGTGACGCGAGCTCGCGAAGTCATTTACCGGTTGAATGATGATAATGATGATGTAGGGCTTTGTAGGATGTCGATATCGTTTTGTGCTAAACGTCGGATTCTTGTCTATCTAATCTACTACGTGAGGGAAAAAGTACAAATTCGATTTGCGTCACAACCGACAGGATTTTTAGACATGTCATACTTATACCTGTTATATTACTAGATTTAATAGTGCAATTCGCGTGCGTGAATCGTATGCCGTGTGACCGTGGACCAAGGTGTGAATGAATCTCTCTTTTACAAGAGGGATTGATAATTATTTCATCTAGAGCATTCAAGAGGTGGGATAGCGTTTAACGAGGTAAAATATCGTTGGCTTCCGACCGTTGGGTGCGAGTGTTCTCAAATTTTTAATACGATTCGTCATCGAGGCTATATTATGTCAGCTCTCGGAGGCCCTGCCAAGAACGTTACAGAAAGTTCTTTCGTGGACGACGGTACTCCTTGTCTTTTTGTATATCATTTCGTAAGGAGACTTGCATCGATTCCGAGACTGATGTTACACACGCAGACTTCTTGCGTCTTCTTTCCTATTTTATTTTGTATTATTTTATAAAAAATGACGAAGGAAAAGGTATCAATAGAGTTCCGATTACACGGGATAATTGTTTACGAATAAAAAGGCAGATTATGCAAAACTGATAAAATTTAATGATACAATTTTATCATTAACTCTTGGATGCATGAAAAATAAGGGCTTTTGAGACCTTTTCTTTCTTCTAGATTATTTCTGTGAGATATCCCGTGCTGTCTTTTATCGATACTTGATTTAAAATTTGTCCCATTAGGAGACCACGCATCCAAGGGTTAAAGTTCAACTGCATTACGATGCGTTAGATATTCGCGACGCGTCGATCGCGTGTTACGCGTTTTAATCAGTCCTATGCATTTCGAAATGACATTTTGTTTGCAACTTACGTGGTGGGCAGAGGAGTATTTCAAATAGCGATGAAATAGCGGTGATTATAACGAATGCCGCTTCCATACTAATTGTCATTGTTGCTTAGTTTTCCTGTAATGTAATAGCGTCCACGATCGAAATTGATCATCGATCGACGGCAAAAAAAATATCATCTTATTTAATCATAATCATGATAGAATGATTTCATGATAGAATTCTTTAAGAGTTAAATAGATTCTTCGGATTTCCTTGAATCTACCTACAAATCACTAATCATTTTTGTTCATAAAATATAAGATAAATCTCATTTTTTAATAGCATTTAATCAATTTCTTTATATTAAAATGTAAAATGGGTAATTTTGTTTCAGTCGGAATAACTTTGGTTCAAATTATAAAAAAATGTCTGGTTAGCACGCATGTTCAAAATCAAAACATAAAACGTCTTAAAAACTTTAAATCGTTTTTAAAACATCTTATTTTTCGATCTTGATATACTGGACATAATCATGAATTTGGACCAAAGTTTTCCCGTTTTACCATGAATTCTTGAAGAGTTAAAATAAATAAATTTCGTTTTGTACTTCTCTCTAAATCAGAGACACGTAATATCGAACCTGATTATCATCGAATGTTCCTGCAAAATAGTCAAATGTCCACCGTGTAATAAACTCACATATGTGTAAATTAAATGTACGGTACTATGATTTTTTTATAGCGTATTAGCATACTTAGGAGAGATAGAAAACGATATACCGCGATTATATTATTTATTGATCGATTTAGTATTTATTTTCTACGTTTCGGAAGGTAAACAGTAAATGTATCTTCTGTACTGTACACGTACTTTTCGTCTCATGTTTGGTCCTCTGAAGTATATCGGACGAGCAGCCTTAGGGAAAAAAAAAGAAACATTTTACGGATACAAATATAAAGAATGGAATATATGATCAGACGAAAGATTAATTTAAAGAGTATAGTGCGAGGAAAGGCAAGGAAAAGAAAAGAGTGAAGTGAAGTGAAAACGAGAAGGGGGGCTAAAGGGCATCGGATGAATAGGCATTAAAGAGAGGGATAAAAAGAAAGAGAGGGGGAAAAGCGGCGTTGACTGTGACTGCAATCATTACCAAGGGGTAAAAGGGAATTCCGCAAGAGAAACACATTACACATCGTATGAAATGTAAAACGCGAACGCTCGCGCGATTATATACTACAGACGCCGGGGCGAATGAGAGGATGTCGCCGGCGAGTCGCGGTGAAATTGTTCACATGCGAGTAGTCTTGTATTTTTTATTATTTTACATTAAGCGCGCACGTCGATCGGGAGGACTTCCGACCGACGTTTGTCGAGAGGAGGAATGGGCGCGTATTCCGTTCTCCACCTTTATGATCCTCTTGGGGCGAGAGTTACACACATTCTATAATAATCCGTTAAGCTTTAAATCTTAGAAGTTTTCTACAATAAGCTACGTACAATCTAAGTTTTAAATCTTAAACTGTAAAAAATTGGATTGAATGAGAAGAATAATCAATTATGATGGGCTTTTTCTGCAATAAGCTATTACCTAAATTTTAAGTTTTAAATCATAAGAAATTAACCAATCAGTCAAATGTGAGAAAAATAATCGATTATGATTAGTTCACACATTTTTTATAGCTTAAGCTTTAATGATAGGTAATGACTTAAGGTAATGACTTATTGTAGAAAGCCCATGATCAGTCAATTTCTTACGGTTTAGGACTTAAAAATTAGATAATAGCTTATTGTAGAAAGCCCATTAGTCACATGTGAGAAGAATAATTGACTTGGTCAATTTCTTATGACTTAAGACTTGAAGTTTAGATAATGGCTTATTGTAGAAAACCCATTACAGGGTGCTTTCAAGAGACATAGATGACAGTGAAACACAGTGAATGATCACATTCTTGTTGTTTGTCAATGTTAAACAAGATGAAATGATCATTGTGTTACACCATATCGTTTGCTAGAAAGCACCAACAAACTTTCATGGGGGAGAGGAACAAAAGCAGCGGCCGTTCCTCCTCAAAGGAGCGCCAGCGAGGTGGGATGGCAAAAGAAATGTCTTCTAACTTGTTCCGAGCGATTTTTCGATTTGGTACGAGGACATATGTTGTGCGCGTGTAACCGGAGGAAAAAAATGAAAGAAAAATTCGCCTGCGTGCGGCGAAAGGGTTGCGACCCGGCAAGAAGGGTTGACGACATGCGTACGCTCTTCGCGCGTTATTTAACTTGTAACCGTAATGATACTGCTATTCACTTCACTCGCATGTTCGAGCAAGAGAAGTGTCTTTAACGGAACGGTGAACGTACCATTCTGTCGGTCTCTTATTTAATAATTTGCACATTTACACGCGCTAATATAGAGGCGAAATCGGATGCGAAAGATAAAAAGATAAAAAAACAAAGTGAATGTTCCGATGAATCATTGTACGGTATATATATA